TTCATTTAATTGTTTAATAGATTTTTTGTATATATAAAGGATAAATTTATTATAGTTTTTGAGTTAAATTGTAGTTTGATATTTTTAAAATATATTTATATAATAAAAAATTTTGTTTAATCTTGCTTTGATCCCTGCCAACCTTTACAATTTCAGAATACGAGGCTTGCTAAATATTATTTTAATAAAAATCTTAATTAGAGCGTTTTTAATAATCAGATTTTAATATCCCTTGTTAACATCTATTTTCTTGCTTATAGGCAGTAAGAATTAAGTGAAAAAGTAATTACCCGATTAAAATAAATATTAATTTTAAAAGGTTTAATTAAATTTTCTAATTTAAAGTTTATGTCCTTTGTATGAGTTAATATAAGAATAAAATTCAAGTAATTTAAATATCATAATGTCGATATGCTGCTGGCTAGCTTATTGATTTTCTTTTCGTAGATGTAACAATACGACTACTAATTTATAATAAAACGACTACTGCTTTTTATTCCAATTTATTTCAAACATCAAATTTTTAATAATTAATTTTCGAATGATCCATTCTATTTTATATATAATATATATAAGTAATATTTTATTAATTTATTACATTTCCTTCAAACATTTTAAAGTTAGATTTCTTCAATAAACCTCTTTGTAGGTTTACGGTTTCTTGATGAACAACGTAATGTGGTATTTGTATTTGTGTTTTATTTGCTTCTTTCACTGGCACAACCATTTCTGTAACTTCCAAAGAACTTTCATGATTTGGTATAACTAATGAATTTCTTAACTGATCTGCATGCTTCCGTAATGTTTTCCCTGAAGTTTCAACAATATAAGAATAAAGTCCTATTCTTTCTTTAATTACTCCCTCTCTCCAACTATTGGTATTTTCATTATTTAACCATACAGGTTGTGAGATTTCATATGATGATGGCTTTGTCTATCAATGACCTTTACTATTTCGTGTTCAGCATTTGGTCGGATCCAATCCAGACTTGTTTTCAATTGCTTCCCAAACATAATTTTGGCAGGAGATCTCCCTGTGGAGCTATGCTCTCCCAATCGGTAGGTTGTTAAAACCTGTGTCATAGATAGCAAACCATTTTTTAGTCGTTCTATCATAGCATCAGCAGAGGTATTCTGCATTAGATCAACTTCTAACCATTTGGAGTAGGAATCGACATCAATTAGCCAATATCACGAATCTACTGGTCCAGCAAAATCAATATGGATTCGCTCTCAAGATTCCTTACCAACAGTCCAAAAATATAGAGGTACTTCTTGAATACTAGGTCTATTTTTCTGGCATCCAGAGCATATTTTGATAAAATTTTCTATATAAACATCACATCTGGGCCACCAACAATACAATCTAAAAATAGATTTCATTACATTTTCCTCAGGATGTCCCCGGTGAATCATTCCTAACACTGCATTTCTTAATTTATTAGGAATAACCAATCTCCCATTCCATTCTATATTATCACGATCGATAGAAAGCTCTTCCCGTCGATTATAAAAATTAACTATTTCTTTGTCTTTATGACGATCAAAGTTTCCCCAACTTTGCTGAATATGTATTGCTACTATTTTTAATATTAAATATTGCTTCGACTCTTTTCGTAGAATATATTCTGACAATTGCATATCATCCAAATTAATACTTCGAATATCCAAAGCATGTTTAGAATCTTGATTCTTTTCCGTGTCTAATATCGGAAGCCTTGATAATGCGTCGGCGATTACATTTTTATTACCAGGTCTATATTCTATTGTAAAATCATAAGAAGTCATCTTCCAAACTCAATGTGCCAAACGATTATTAGAAATTTTAGGTAAATCGCGTTTCTCCCCAAATAATCGCTCTAATGGTTTATGATCAGTTCGAAATAAAAATTTTCTACCATAAATAAATGATTGAAATTTTTCAATACCAAATAAAAGTGCTCGAGCTTCTTTATCAATCGGAGCGTAATGTTTCTCTGATTCTAATAAAGTACGTGACGCGAACGAAATAGGTTTTGTCCTTCCGTCTACTAATTGATGTAACAACACAGCCCCTAATCCTGAATCAGATGCGTCGCATTCCAAAATTATAGATAACTGCGCGTTATAAGGAATTTACGTTTCCTCGGATGACAATAATTTCTTAACCTCATCGAAGGAATTTTGTTCATCTTTCGACCACCGCCAAGGTACTTTCACCCTCGTTAATCTATGTAATAGCGCCGCTTTACAATGTAGATTACGAATAAATCGTTCATGATACACGAGTCCTAGAAAAGATCTAAGTTGTTGTATATTTTTAGGTTGTGCATTTTGGATAGCCTTTTTCCGGGTTAGGATGTATACTGAATTTATCAATAATCACCCCTAAAAATGAAACCGATTTTTGTAAAAATCTCACTTTTGTCAATTTCTCCTTAAGACCTGCTGTCTGTAATATGTCTAACACTATTCGCAAATTATTTATGTGCTCCTCATCAATTCGACCAGAAATAATTACGTCATCTATGTAGACACCAGTCATTTAGCAATCTTTTAGCAACTCATCCATATATCTTTGGAATATAGTAGGTGCTAATGCCAATCCAAAAGGCAATCGTCGGTTACAGATATAGCCCTTATGAGTCACTATCGTTAGTAATTCCTGAGATTCCGATTCTACTTCCAGTAAATACGCATCTTTCAGATCTATCACGGTAAATTTATCACCACCTTGGATTTTCTCTAACAAATCATCTAAGATAGGAAATGATGGTCATACAATAAACATGGATTGAGTGTAACTTTGAAATCAGCACAAATTCGAATATCGCCATTACTCTTGCATACATTTACAGTTGGCGTTGACCTCTGTACCCTAGCTATAGTCGAATCAATTTTTTCGATAATTCCTGCAGCCACTAATCGGTCTAATTCCATTTCAATTGCTTTGCGAAGTGTAAATGGTACCCTACGGGCTGGAAACGATCTAGGTAAAGCGGTATTCTTTAAATGTATTCGCACTGCAAAATCACGTATATGTCCCATCTTATCATCAAAAATTTCTTGATGTTTATTAATCAAATCTCGAATTCTAGAATTTAGTGTTATGCGACATTTTTCTTTTTCAATATTATTGACCAAATTGCGTACTTGTTTAATCATAACCTGACGAGGCATTTCTAAATTGAATTCCATAATCCATGGTAATACGAAAAGAGGGACCCCAGTTGTATTCATTATTACCACTGATAGGGTCATTGTCTGTGATCCAATTCTAACATTGACATGAGTCTCGCCCTTAACGTCTAACGGATGATCACCATATTTAATGAACTGGTTGGCCTAATTTTTGGCCGTCCAATACTGGTCCATATATCAATTCCTATCAATGACGCTTGTGCACCAGTGTCAAAATCAAATTCAACATCTAACCCATTTATCTCTGCAGTTAGTTTTGCTCGATTCTCTCGATTTTGTTGAATCTTCCAAATATTATGATGAGAATCACTTGATGACACTATTATATAATTTAAATTCTTTGATTTACAGCAAACTGCAAAATGACCAATTTTTTTACATTTATTATATGCCGCATTTGTAGCTGGACATCTCACTTCTCGGTTATGAATAAAACCACATTTATAACATTTAAGTTTATTATAATCTTTATCATTATTATATAAGTATTTTCTCTTTATCAAATGTATTATTATACTTGACTTTATTATAGCCTTTATCTAATGTAGTCGTCGTTTTAATTGTATGTTTATAATTATTATCATTTCTGTTGTTATTATCATTTATCTTATTAACAACAGGCATATTTTTATTGCCATTTCTTTGTCTGCTCGCTCAAAAGCTAATGCCAGATTAATAAATTGGAAAGTCAGTACATTATTATCTTTATTAAGACCGTTGGGATAGAGCTCTAAGATCTCTTTCCAATCCCGGTATTTCCATGCCAACCATAAACTGATCACGTAAACGCTCGTCAATATCATTAAGATAATGGCAACGCTTGCCAATTGTTCTAATTTTATCTTCAAATTCAGATATGGTTTCATTTGTTCTCCGTAATCTAACGAAATCAAATCTAGTAGCAAAACCGGTTGACATAGGTTAATAATAATTTAAAACATATCGACTTAATTACCTTAAAAGATAAAGTTTCGATCGAATCAGGATAACAAAAACGGTCCACTAACTCAATATTCTTATTGCCAAAAAATGTTAAAAATGTATTTTTATATTGACATTCAAATGGGCTTACGTTTTTTAACCGAAAACTGGCTTCCCAATGAGAAAAGTATCTTGAAATCGATGTATTGTCGAATTTATCAAATTTAATCGTAGATAAATCGTCAAATTTTTTGAATCTCCATTTAAGGAATTATTTTCTCCATTTAAGAAAATATTTTCTCCATTTATCGTCGCCATTTGTAACAATACGACTACTAACTTATAATAAAACGACTACTGCTTTTTATTTCAATTTATTTCAAACATAAAATATTTATTAATTAATTTTCGAATGTTCCATTCTATTTTTATATATAATATCTATAAATAATATTTTATTAATTTATTACAGTAGATAGTATGATATTTGCGATATGTAAAAGTTTGGTTAATGATACTACCATAGGCAGTACCGATCAAATAGCGATTTCTTTTTAGTGGACTCATGCTCATCACCTACCATCTAAAATTATTATCAAATATAAGATATAATATACAACAGAATTATATTATCTTATTTATTTCTCTAAATATTAATATTACCTGATTATCATTTAATCCTAAATCTAAATGGCTTTCCATTGTTGTTTAAAAAAATTCTAAGCTAGTTTAGTATCGAATATATACCACTACCTGTTTCGTTTTTGATTCGTTTCGTTAAAAAATAAATATTTAAAAATACACAATTGGTAGTACCCATCAAAATAAAAATTGTAAAATCGCTATATGCTCGGTACTGCAGCAAGCATTAGCCCAATATCATTGCATTAACCTAAAAGTTTAGTACTACAAATAATACAAGAGTAATATCATAAATATTCAATCATTCATTTAATTTTATTTCGTATGGGCTGAAGATGATTAAGTAAGATAAAGATTTATATATTATAATAAATGATTCAATTAAGCTCATTGGGTGAAATTAATGAAAATATTAAAAGTAAAAGGATTTTGATATAACTAAATTTTATTTTTTGCTAGTTGATATATACAAGCCAGAAAGCTGGCATGAAATATTAAGACTTCAACATATGTATTCTCAATATATTATAAATTATCTTGAGTATGCTCTTGAAAATCAATTAGAAAAAAAATTGTAAATTTTAAAATAATTACTCAAATATATTATAAAATATTAATTATTTGTATATAGATGGAAATTACTTTTTGAAAAATATATTGAAATGTTTTTTGAAGAAATGGTAGAATGCAAAAAAGTAACATACTATTATCATATTATTATATTTCAAATCTAGACACAGCAAGTTTTAATTAGTAATTTAAACCTCTTTTTGGATATGAGTTTTGGATTTTTTAACTTGGTTATATCTAAATTTGATAATAATTAATCCATTTATAATAGATGTTACATCAAGTATTCATGAATTATAATGTAGAATTTCCTTTACTGAGGAATAATAATTCATATGGATTGTTATCTAGTAATATTTTATTGGAATTGTTTATATAATTTAAAATTATTTATAATAAAACATGATTTTAATATTTTATTTTGTTATGACCATATAAAATTAATAAATGTATTTTATTTTAGCAAATTTAATTTCTGAAGAAATCAAAAATAATATCAATAAACCTTCCAAGGATACAATTATACATATGACACAATCCTGTATCCAATGTTTGGCAGATATAACTTATTATAAAGGGCATTTTGAGCATGCCTCATTTTTATTTTTAAATTCCTATATAGTTAATCCTAAAAATGGTGATAATATTTTTAGTTGATTAAATAATATATTTTTTCTTAATTTAATCTATTATTTTATAGGATATCCATTTTTTCGAGTTGCCTTGATTAATCCTAAAATTGAAGATCTTTGCACTAGAAGCTTATATTATTTTATAAGAGCCTTAGGAAGTGAAATACCTTATGTAGAAGCAGAGTTTTATGTTAATAATAAATTCGAAGAATTATTGAAGGATCATGATACACTAACACTAAAAAATGACTCAATTACCCCATTTAAAGATTTTTTGGAAATATATCTTGCCACAATTGGCTTGGCAGTTTTATTGAAAAGTTTAAATTTAATTATATCTGAATACACTTTAATTTGATAATGTTTTGCAATATAAAATAGGTGATTCTTCTCAACATCTTATTAGTAATAATATGAAGTCATATGGAAAATACTTATGTCATTATATAAAGAATGGCCTCTTAACAAAATCACAATTAATGATGCTTTATGCAATTATGATTTATTTTCATGATAATATTTTGAAGGATAAGGATATTGGAAAGGTTGTAGCCTCGGACAGCTTCTCTATTCACTCTATATTATGTAAGACTATTTAATAACAAATTCAATTTAAATATACACAAAAAATAGATTACTGCCTGCACATCCTCATATTTGAGATTTTGAAAATTGTTAAGCAGAGATAACAAATTTAATTTCTATATAGGGTAATAATTTTAGTGTATGCTCAAACACAGACCAGACACTCAGGAATTTTATAAAGGATTTCCAGCACTGATTTAGATTTTTAGCCTAGCCCAAAAAATATTTTACACGAATTGCTTCTTGAATTTTTTTTAACCTGGCCTATAAATGGCCCCATTCTGAAATTTTTTTTCTGTAATTGGGCTGGGTCATATCAATCTCTGATAATGATACTTATCATTATCTTATTTATGCAATTAACATGACTTAATTTAAAATGTCAGATGTGAATTTAAAGTGCAGACGACAATATATTTGTAGGTGAACATACATTAAATTCCATAAAAGAATAAACTGGCTATATATATACAATTATGCAATACACTACTTTAAATTTCCTGCATCAGGGCAATAATATGCTTTTTAGTTAAGGTTAGTCATTTGGTATTTGCCATCGATCCTCAATTGACCATAAATTTTGACCGATTTTAAGACATGGTATGGTATTGGCCTTATAAAAAAGTTGTTTATATTTCATGCAAATTAACAATGGCACAATCCTACTGTTTGAATAATAAACGCCTAGTCTTAAATACCTGGGGTTTGATGGGCTCTCATAAATTGGTCTCTGCTTGATCTATGTTCCCAAAATGTCTAACAACCAAACAATTTAATATTTTCTAAGCCAGAATGTTAAAACTAACCAGCACCCGTTCAGACCATACCACAATCCTAAATTTTTCTAAAAAGTAGTTAGTTGATAATCTGCTCATTTCCAGCTTATTTACTTTACTTTTTACCATCGATTATGATCGGACCATGTTCTATTATTAAAAATTAAAAATACACTTATATTTATTAATCAATTATTTTTAGTCAATTTTATTGAGAATCTGTGCAAAGTCATGGTTAATAGTAGTGGCAATATGGTACATTCTCCAATAACACCTTTGATCCATGTATTTTTGAAATGGTTGAACAAATCCAATAATCGAAAAATATTTGTTAATCTGAAAACATTTAGGCAAGATGAATACAAGTATATTCCTTTTTTTTACCTATAACGTGTTTACTAATTGAAATTTGAAAACTTATAGTATAATACAATTTAAAAAAATTTACTTGATATTTTTTTAAATTTCATTTTAACAAATTCTAGTTTTTGGCGCCTATTAAAAATTACCAAAACTAACCTGAAAAAATATATCAAACGGATATGGCCTAACATTCAGAGGGAATATAAAAGATTGGGATTTTCTTCCGAACTTTTTGACCAAATTTGTAATAGCGGCATGTTGCCCGAAGACTACTCCTTTTGGGGGTTCGTTCCTTTGAGAAGTGATGATCATGAAATGGCTTCTAAAATTGAATATTGGAATCTTAAACCAGTACACAGGCAGTTTCAAAGCTATGTTAGGAGCCTTCGAATGATACATCTTTTAGATAGCGCCTTTAAATTTTGGTTAGATTTTAGCAATCAATTCAATTTTATTTCGGATTCATTATAAGCTAACCTTTATATTCTATCAAAGGGGATAAAAACTTCATTTTTTTGGAATCTAAGAAAAATTGAAGTTTTTGTTTTTCTTAATGAACTCTATTGAATTATAATAGAATTTTTTTATATTAGCTCTGAATTATTTTATATTAGATATAAATTTTATATTAGATATGAATTATATATTTGCTTCTTTTTTTACAATAAACGCTACCTATAATATACCTACCAAAATAAAAATATGGTATAGATAAGCATCTCTACTATGAATTTAACAATTTTTTAAAATAAATATAGTCTTATAGAAGATATTGATACAACAATAGTTGAGTTAGACGAATTTCCAATAACCTTTCACCTTCCTACAGTGCCCATTAGAAACAAGATTGAAAACTTGGTACATAAGGTATTTATTGTTTCATTATTTTAACTAAAATCTATTTAATGAATTTGTATTATCATTAATTAAAAAAAAAATATAATTAGATAGTAATTTGATTATTTAACATAAGTATGGATCATATTACCTATTCAAAGAGTTCAAAACTTACCTCTTTCAATTTTGGTAAAAATTGGTTCACACATGTTTGTATTCTAGTTTTTTGATACAAAAATCAACCATTTTTAAAAGCTTTGTCACTCTTAAATATGCGTTATTAACTAAAAATGAAATACATTTAATTATAAAATTTTATATTTATAACTAATTGATAATTAGAGGGAAAAACAAATGAAATAATGTATTATATACAAGGTCATTTTACCTCATTCTATTTTCAAAATGACTAGGAGCTTTCCTACTGCTCATTTACTTTTCTTATAATTTTTTGCATAATTAGCGCAGTTACCTAATTTTCTCAAAAAATGCCGCCAATAGTATATTTTAAAAAATGTATAGCAAAAATTTTAGTTTTTCCCCTTAATTATCAATTATTGACTTAGTTATATGAAATTTACTATTCGAATTGATCTAGTTTTTAATTAATAAATTATTTAACCGCGATAAAGGGTAAGCATGGTTTTGTACCTTAAATCCACATTATCTCAAATATAATTACTAAAAGCTAACATTTTGTGTTTGTTTAACTAGGACATATGTGACGACAGGTATTTAAATCTTTATCAAAATTGGAAAGGGGTCCGCCATCTCAATTTTCGAAATTTTAATTTGAATCAGAAATAATATTTAAAAACTCATTAAATAATGTTAAAATCCTTATCAAAATGTAATACTTTAAATCAGGCGTTATATCCCACATTAGATTATGCCATTTTTTAATATAAATTGACCCCTACAAATCCATATTTTTATAATCTTTTAATTTAAATTCTCACCCCATATCCCTCCAACCTTTTAATATTGATCTTAAATTATAGCAGGACTTTTTTAATTTCAATTTAAATCCTCACCCCATACCTCGCCAACCTTTTAATATTGATCTTAAATTATAGCAGGACTTTTTTAATTTCTACCCTATAATCCCTAGCCATTTATCTATATCTCTAACCTTTTTAATTTCTACCCTGTAATCTCTAGCCCTTGATCTATATCTCTAACCTTTTTAAATTTTAATTCTACCTAGTGATCTTTTTCAAGCCCGGCCCAAAATTTTTTTAAAAAGTTTTGCCGGCCCGGCCCGAACCCTAAATTTATTTTAAAAAAATTTACTGGCCCGGCCAGGCCCGAATTTATTTAAATATAGAAATTAATTTTTATAATTACTTAAAATAAAAGGCATATGTTACATAGCGTTTAGTTTCAATAAATTAAATCAAAAATTTTTATTAAATTTAATATAAAATTGATAAATATTAGATATATTTAATAAAATTTCCAAGGTCAGACCCGGCCCGAATTTTTTAAAAAAATATTAGGCCCGGCCCGGCCACTTTGCAGATCCCTAATTCTACCCTCTTTCTTTATCAAATTTAAAATTCAAATTAGACAAGTTTGATATTGATATTTTTTAAACATAAAAATAAAAGAAATACATTAACGAATCACTTGTTTCTATGATTGCCATATTTTTACATTTAGCAAAACATCTGTAAATAATGATTATTTTATACCCGGTTGTTCATGTCATACCTTTTCTATGCAAGACATAGCATACTCTTAGTTTTAGAAGAATTAAAATTTTAAAATTAAATAGTTTTTAATAATAAATTTTTTTCCTGTGTAAGGCAAGAAATATTATAGGCAACTAATATTTATCAAACAATAACAATAATTTTTGGTTACAAAATAATTTCGCCTTGTAGGCCTACAAATTTGCAAATTTAAACGAAGATCATAATAAGCTAATAAAAATACCCCAATATTCTACCAACCCTCATTTCTCTAAAAAATAAATTATAATAAATAACTTTAGAAATTTTTTTTAGTATAACAAGGTTAATAATTATCATATAATAGAAAATTTTCCAAAAAAAAAAATTTTAATAATAAAAAAATATGCAAAACCAAAATTAGTTTAAAAAAATGTAATCTGGCCAAGTATTAAACTGACCTTTCCTCCAATAAAATTTATGGAAACAAAGTCACCTAAACCCCCCCCCCCCCCTCACTCCCTTAGGAAAATCCTGGTTATATCTATTATTGATTACTATATGAATAAAAAATTTTAAAAACATATTTTAATATCGTCTTTTTTTTCGACTGAATAAAAATTCTTTAGTTGATAAATTTCTTATTTTACAATATGGTTTTTTAAAAAAAAATAATTAGAAAAATTTGAGGTAAACAAATAGGCACCCCTTTGGAACCAAGATGTACTCCTTTGAAATTATATTTTCTTGAATGAATTTTTTCGCAAAATCTTTTTCCCTTATCTTCCTTACTTAGGACAGAAAATTGCATAACTAATAAATATAACCTGAACACTCTCTTTTGCTTACTTTCTTTATAGGGCACGGCATAAAGAATTGGTTTGAGTCATAATCTCCGATATCGTTGGTTCATGATTCCATGTAAACTACAAATTTTTTAAACCTATTAATTGAAATCGACATTCATTAACCCTTTTCTTGATGTGGATAATATAAATAATATTAATTATTCGATTTTTTTTAAACATTGCATAAATTAGTGTTGAACGCCTCGATTTTTTAAAAACGACTAACCCAATATTTTGGCCAAAATATTTTAAGCAATCCTCGAGATTTCGTTATGATATGTCCAAACATTTCTGCCATCTATCAGCAAGATTTCCGGGATTGCCTAATATTTTTGGCTAAAATATTGGGTTAGTCGTTTAACAACACTGCATGAATTGAATTTTAGAACATTTTATTAATTTATTATTATGAAATTATATAAATAAAAGATGTTACATGATTATATATAAAATCACGAAATAACCCAAACAATATAAATATCCGACCGGTTTTTTTAAACAGTTCTAGTCTTATTTATGACATTTTTATTGCTATATATTTTTTTAAATGTATTTTAAAAAAAGATGTAATTTTAAAGAAAAATTATCTAAATTCAATTTTTTTTTTTTTAAAAACAAAATTAATAATATTTACTAGCTCGCACTTAAAAAAAGCCTCTACTTTGACAACGCTCTTTCTTACCAAATAATCAATCAGGCTAGTAATCCAATCAACGAAAATATTCTTACAGTAAATTTTTATTTAAAAAATACCTTATACTATAACTAATAATAATATATTTAAAGCCATATTCAAAATACTTATCCATTTTTTAATTAGAAAGAGGGGGAAGTACCTCAACAAAATTTGGTATACAATCACGGGAAGTGCTTTGATGCGAGTAACTTAATCCCGAATAATGCGTCGAATTCTTCCGACTATCTTTTAAATAAAGGGAACTCTATCGACTCTATGAAATACGAAGACCTACCCTGCTCTAACCTAAACAACATGTTTAAGGATATTCTGCTTTCTGATCACCTGGCACCTAACGGCGCCATTTTTAACGAAAACGATATTGTCAGCAAACCCAGCGAGCAGCTTTACACTGATTTTAATTCCCAAAATTTACCGGATAATGGATCTAAGAATGTAACAAACAAATAATAAATTATTCGAAAATTTGTTCCATCTATATAATGCTTATTATTTTATGGGCAGATTTGGGATATGTGTTTTGATTTAGATATAAATAATACCAAACTTAATGCTGAATTGGATTCTAAATGGAAATTGGATTTTGACCTACCAAAAAGCTGTAAATACTATAATTAATAGTTTTAAACTTTCTTATTTCACGATATTCTTCTTAACATTTTATATATTTTATTTTATATATGATTTATTTTAACATGTAAATTGTCCAGCAAATATTTTATTTAGAAAGTCATTTTTTGACATACAAAGATTTAACAGTTTTATAATGTATTATTTTTTAAATGATATCACAGTCTGTTATTGGTGAAATATTTTATTATTTTATGCAGATCCTTCTTTTCTTGATCTATCTATGGATAAAAGCATGAAAATAAATGGGAATTTGGAAATGTTTAAAGATTTGGATGATCTCGACGTTGTTGTAAATTCAAATGGCTATGATAAAGTTGGAAAGAAAATAAAATAAATAACGAATTCTGAATTAATATATTTTTAAATTGTAACAACATTAATCTATTTATTTTTATCGCTTAAATATAATGTAATATATCTTAGTAATTTTAAGATGATTTTATTTTTGAAGTATAGGTTAAAAATTTTTTTAGTAATTTCTTCTATAACCTTTGCGCTATTCTAATATTTTAAAACTCAAATTTATTATTAAATTAATATTTAATTTATCTAGAATTTTTCGACCTACCTAGACGATGAAGCAAAATAAATCTACAAAAATAATAGTTAGTTGTCATCCTGAGGATAGATTAACTTGGTGATGGTTATACATACGACTTTGTGGAGAAAAAGACAAAATTAAACTCTTATTTAAAAAAATTAAAAAAAAACATTATTTCAACTTTGTGGCTTTTCATAATCAAGTAAAAAAAACATAGTACATATATATTTTAATAATTAAATAGTAGGGTTAAAAATAACAATGATATTTTTGCTTAAAAAGTAACGAACAATGTTATTTTTGCTTAAAAGGTAATGAACAACGTTACTTTTTACATTTGTTTAAAGTAACATTTAATATCGAAACAACACTCTTAAATATCTTTTTAAACTTTATAAAAAATTTATCGTTTTTAATGAATTTTGATCTAATTTAAAAAATATATATAGTCATCAAGACGGATTGTTAGCTCGAGGCTATCGGATTGGGCTCCGACATATATTGGTTTTCCCAAAACTTTTTTGCAGTGAAACGAAGTTTTACTTTGAAGAGCATATTTTGCTTAACTTTTAAAAAATAGTTTTATTTACTTCCTTATATTTTATGGAAAGAAGAAGAAAAGGTTATGAGGATAAAGCTATTTAATTTATATTTTTTGGGTATTTTAAAATTTATTATTCTTTATAATCAGATACTTCATTTATATATATTTTATTTAGTGTATTATGTTACATCTATAAATCTGATTTATTAATGCTTTATAAGTTTATATTTTAATATTAATAAAAATAAAAATATTCATGGACTTTGCAAGTTTTTTGTGAAATTTTATAAATGGATGGTAGCAGAGAGCTCAGGTAGCCCTGCGAAAAGCAATAATCTTTTTTGGCTAATTTTGGAAGTGGATCCTCTAAAAGAAAAGCTAAATATATGCCACTAGGGAATAATAACAAATCGAATAAGATATTTGTTTTTAATAATTCAATATTCCTTAATTAAATAACTAATAATTCCATTGATTAAAAAAGATAAGCTAATTATTGAATGTTATTAGATTATCTATCACTAAGGTATAGTCAAAAGTATAAAAATATTACAAAATATATTTAGAATTTGGAAAAATATTTATTAATATAATAATTTTAATAGTCTCACTAAACGTGTTAGATTTATTCATGACATCAATTTTTAAAAAAAGCTGTTTTAAGACCAATTTCTAATCATATCTTATTAAATATGCAGGAAATAAATGTAAAACTATTGATATAAACTCATTATTAAGGCCTAATGAGGCGATTTTAAATTGTTAGTATTCGCGGAAATTTAGTAACAGAGTTAGTTATTTAAAATTATAAAATATAATTTTACCAGAACATTATTATAAAAATATAAGTTTATATTTTTAAAAAAGCTATGATTATTTTGAAATATGGCTCTTATATATATTTTAAAATAAAATTATATTTACATTCAAATATTTTTTTAAAAACGATATGAAAGCCTAATTAGAGGTCTTCATTGGGCGGCTTTTGAACCATAAGCCCGCCCACCCAATATTTTAAAAAAATTTAACCCGCCTGCCTATCAAAAAATACCTGCCCGCCCATTATTAGTCTAAAATTTTTTACCCCCCCATCCATTATTTATAAATTTTAAATCAAGCCCGCTATTAAAAAATTTAATTATGGCCATTCTTTCAATTTTATAAGCATCTTCTAAAAATATTTCAGCATTACATCTCTACAAGAAGTTTTATAATTATGGAAATGAATGCTAAATTCTCGTTTAGAAGCACAAATTGCAGGAATTGCCAATATTTTTCTTGTTAATCTTGATAGCTTTGGCAAATCTCTTTATTGTTATTTCCACCAAAGTAGTTTTAAATATACAAAAGAGTTTTTATAATACCAAAAAAGGACATTTTAATATTTAATATCTAAAAAGTTCATAAGAACAATTTTTTTAATTAATATTTAAATTATTTTTAGCCAACCCGACCATTGCTTAAATTTCTTAACCCGCCCATAGTTTAAAAAATCTTTTAACCCGCCCGCCTGTTCTTGAAAAAAATTTTGCGATGGGCGGGCCGAAACAAATCTCAATGCAGACCTCGAAGCCTAATCAAGTTTAAATAATAGAAAATAAAAGTTAAAACATGACTACTTAAATTTATTATTTACATTGTATTTTATTTCTTCTAATATTTATATTATATACATATTATTCTTAAAATTCATATATAAATTCGTATGTAAAAAATGTCAATTATTTTTTATTGCCTTTTTCATTGTCAATAAAAGCATCATCATCAAGATCCTCATAATTTGGAACTTCATATCTGAGGGCATTTTTGATATTAAATGTGTGATTATCGGTTATTTCGTCTTGTTTGTCCCAAACTTCTGGATATTTGAAATAATCGCCAACCGAATATTTTTCCAAATTAATCGGGGTACCACATTTAGTGCAACCTTCTATTTTAGGATTGAATCCATCTTTCTTGCAATTCAATTTATTAATCCTATCGTACATACACTGATCAACGTTGTTATTTCCTAAATATGCACCTGTACTTTTTATAGGTGGCCGCCTTAATTGGTCTTGTTTTGAAGGCTTTTCCTCCACGAGGGAATAAGCCCTAACCAAATTTCCACCGTTTTCGCGTTTGTTAAAATACCGTTTGTTTTGCCCAGTCTGGGATGACATATATTTTTTATAAGCTAATTTTGCCCTCAAAATATCTTGGTCATCTAAGTAATTGTTGGCGAATTTAGGCGTTCTCAAAGAATGCTTCGTTTTGAAATCATTTAGAAATAACTTGGGTGATTCCTTCTGGTCTTTATAATCATCCGACATAGATTTAGATAGCTTGCGAAAAGCCTTTACCATATTGAATTCATTTGGATACACGTCCGAATTTAAAAATTCGATTGTTAACATTTTATTTTGATCGTCGAGTCTTTGAATAGTGTAATCTCTGTTGGCATCAACCAGTTGTTTACGTTTGATATAAATTACAACCGAAAATAAGCAAATCAAGCTTATCAAAAGAATCACTAGGAGCAAAATGAAATTGCTACTGTAAGTATCCGGCTTGTAAGCCGCTAGATTATCCTTGTTGATGTAAATGTTAAAATTATTTTTATCGCCTTTGCCTTTAACATAAGTGGTTGTTGTATTTTGAAGCAATGGGTTATTCATAGGCGCTTCTTTGAATTTTAGAAAGTTAAATAACTCTTGACGTATCACTTCTTTTCTGTTGGGGAAATATGATAATCCTTGAGCTACTAATCTTACGTTAAACGCTTTCACCTTTATCGTCCACGGGGGTTGCAGGTTTAATTTCGAAACTAAGATGGAGGTTTCTAGCGTCTATTATTTATATTTTTTAAAATTTACCAAACATGATACATTATTTATTTAAAAAAATTTTTAAACCTGTGTAATATGGATAAACGAAGCATTTTGTTTTATCCAAACAGAATATATAACCCGACTAAATAAAAGTTTTTCCACCCTTTTGATCGGTTTCCAAGTAATTAAAACATTATCCAGCTCGTCTTCTGCTGTTATTGACCTCATTTTGACTAACTTTGACAAGTCTATTTTAGGATAAATTTTCTTGGTCTCTTGAAACGTTATTTTATTGTTCAATTTTGAGTACACTAAATGCTTATTATTGAATTTATTGCTGCTATGATATGCACAGGCAATTTGACACCCCGGAAACTTTTTATAAAATTTAAAATATACGATAATCAAAATTAAATAGGCTTTAAATAATTAAGATTAATTTTTACGCATAATTCTTTGACGGAACAGAGAATCCCCCATATGTGATATTCAGAATAGAACATTTCACAGTTCTCCCAGCACTGGAAGTTTAAAAAAATATATAGAATTAGTATTTTTATAAAGAATATATTTAAGATTTAATAATTATTTATTTAAATATAAAGGCACTTTATAATTACCATATAACAATTAGAGTTGTTGTGACATTCTTGGTCTGACGTGTAACTGAGTTTCAGCTAAAAATTGTAAAATGTCATTTATTATATATAAGAAAATAATTATTATACCTTGTTCATGCAATTGGATCTACATTGGGCCACTTGGTCATACAACACCATATTACTCGCTGATACGCTCAGTCCAAATACCAGGATTATAAAAAAGCATACAATATTAAATTCCATTTTTCGATAATTATGTTGTAAATTATTTTTATAAATTTAAAACTCAAAAAAAAAATTAATAAATGGATGTTAGATAATACGAATTGCTCATCTCTTATTTTGAAATGCTATATTATGCTTGATATATTTAAATAATTATGATAATATTGTAAAACAAAAGTCTTTTAATAAACACCGGTAAAAGAATATAAATTAATTTATTTTTTTTAAATAAGATTATTCTATAACAATATATAACTGGTTATTTTTCAAGATACAACGGAAATTGTGATATTTTTTTTCTCATTATTTTCAGGTATTACATTTTACATAATTAAATAAAAACATAACACTTGAAATGAAAAATTGTTATTTAATTGGTGGAAAAATACTTTTATAATTTATTATAAAACATAATTTTGTACTTCTTGAAATCGGAATTTATTGATATTAAAATTAATTTAAAAAACATCTACGATAATGAGCGATAAATTGAAATTTTTAAATTTAAGGAAACTTAGTTCTTTTATCTAAAAATTGTGAATGTACAAATATCCAATTATAATAGAGATTCTGAAAAAAATTCATATTTTTGCTAAATTTTTATTATTTTAGTTTTAAAAAATAAATTGAATTATATAAAGTTATTGGCTTATTAATTTATAATTAGGGGAGACCTGGGCAAAACGCACTGCATGTCAGAAAATTATATATTTTTAAAAAATATTTGGGTCTTAAAATTTATTTACAATATGTTTAGGTTCAGACAGAAATAAAGGTCCGGTTCGTAAGAAATAATAGTATCTTTAAAAAAATTATATTAAACCATATTTAATTAAGATATCTTAAATATTCTCTTCTGTCAAAATATATTTATAAATTCTATAGTTGAGAACACTTCTCCATACCCTAACCTTGGTTGTTGGCATAATCAAATTGCAATATATAAATATACCTGAATATGCTTACTTTGCTATCAATCAAAATGGATTATTAATGTTATTTGAAGTGGTATCAAAGGGTTCAAACCGGTTCATATACTTTTTTTAAGAGGTTCGGATACAAAATTTTTAACCGTTCGGTTTAGGTTCTGTAAATAACAACCCAGGTTAAAGGATGGCTCCCTGGTTTACCTTATATTTAGGAAAATAGTACATAGAATTTTTCCGCATAGATTTTTAAACATATCAAACCATAAAAATTTTATATCAAATGAAAGCTTGGTAAATACACGCTATTTTTGTTTCAAATTTCAAAATTTTATAAATTAATACTACTGATTTTTTTATAAAAAATTTTTTATAAACTATTAATATAACTTATTTACATGGGGTGGCATGTCACCAGATTATTTATATTGTTACACATTTTAATGAACGATCTTCCATCTAGGTAGTATTATATGTAATTGGTTTCAATGTACCCTGCGTTTTTTTATACTTTCTCCACTGTTTTACGGCATGAAATTTAAATGTTTGGTTAGTCAATGTTTGTTATATTTTTATAGACATTTTAATTAAATTTCAATGTGCCCCCGTCTCCAATAATTATGTTATGAACATATTGTA